TATTCTCATGGAAAATTCCTGTGTAACTTTTGATAGTTCAAAAATTGCCCTCTGAAAGTTGTCTTTGGATTCTTCTACTATTACCTGGTCATCTGTGTACAAGATTGTGTCAATCTTTCTATCTCCTTTAATAAAAATTCCCCAATTCATCTTCTTCCATCAATTCCTTATTAAGTGGTTAATAGAGATGTTGAAGAGAACCAGAGATAAACCACAACTTTGTCTAAGGCCACTGCAAGTGATCTCAATGCCAAAATTCAAGAAACTAAAATGCCTCCATGCAAAGTACATGAAGGAGAGAAGACACTTAATAAAAAAGGGAAAACACTTATAAAATGATGTTTGTTCAACAACCTATGAATCACTAAACAGCTTTTTCAAACGAAACAAAAAACATAAATTCACATGGGAGGCAAGAAGTCTGTTAATGATTATATAATTGTCAGTGTCAACCTGTTCAATAAAGTCAAGAATACATAATTGTTTTGGGGAAGCAAAATTGATTCCAATCATCATCTTTTAGAAAGCAGGACCTACCTTCAAAAACAAACATTAAAACATTACATAGAATACAAGAAAGTAAGGGCCAACTTAGCTGAAGGTATAGAAGAGAGAATTAAAGAGTAAACATTAAAAGTCTAGAGAGAGACATCACAGATCCTCAGAGAATAGGGTTTGAAATTCTGAAACATTTTTGTATAAATATAAAAGATACAATCTTGCTGAACAAAATCCCAGAGGAAGATTGGATCAAACACTTCCACACACTTAGGAACAACAAATAAAGTTGTGTCAACAGGAAGGAAAAATAAACAGAACAGACATACATTGACAGACACACAAATAACCTATTAAGAATGTCAGAACTTGAAACAGTAATGAAAAAAGCAAAAAACAGGAAAAGCCCAGGAACAGATATGGTAAATTTAGAACAACTAAGACATAGGAATTAAAAAGTTATGATGTAACAATGTTTGCAATTTTTTGCTAATTGAAAATGTATTTTCATAAATGGTATATTGATTGAATGTTAGATTTCAAAGAAAATATTCTTAACTAATCTACAGTATATTTTAGAATACAATTAAATTGACTCTGTAGATTCTCACCCATGACAAATTTTCAGGCCAATTCTTCCTTCTTTCATACAAAAATTGTCCCTCAATCTCGTTGTTAGGTGCAGTCTGCATCACTAATTAATTCTGATTTTAATTATTGTTAATTTTAATACATAAAGGAATAAAAATAGTACAAATTGTTTTCATTAGTGTATATGCTGTTTTCCTTTTTGTAAATGGTAGAGAGGGGTCGAAAGTGTCATGCAATTATTGAGGGGGGAGTTTCAAGGACATGTTACAAGTCCATTACAGTGGAGATTGGGAACTTTCAAAAAGTTCCAAATTTTCATTATATAATTTGTCGGTAGCCCCTAAAAATAAAATTTAATTAAGATTGAAATAAAACAGTAAGTTTTTGATGAAAAAAGGGTTAAGTATTAATAATACTAGTTGACCCCAGTAGAAGTGTTTTTTTCCCCTTTTTATTTATTATAGTCACATAAACGTGTAGATCATGGGTGACCACCGCATTTGTACAAAACATTAACAATATTTGAAGTAATCAAGTATTGCAAAATGAAAATAAAGACACAATATATAAGCACAAATGTTCAAAGTGGTACACAAAAAATATGAACAATTCTTATTACATTAATATGATCTCAATGTAATGGTTTAATTTTAGATACATAATATTCAACTTGTTAAAAAACAAAGAATAACACTTGCTGTAACATCATATTCCTAGAATATTTGGTTGATATTTTAATTAATTTACAACTTAATTTTTCTTTTATTATTCTTAACAATTTTTTTTATTTGCATAGGCTATGAGCAACTGTACATTTAATGAAAAATTTCCTATTTGGTCTAATTGGAGTGTATAAATGAAATTGAGTATCTGAGCCAAAGTAGCCATTGTAACTTAGAGCCAAAGTAACTTATCCATTGTTAATTATAATTTGGTATAGTATTCAGTAAACAACCATCATGTATCTTAAAAATAAATAACTTGAGTCACTTTTCATGAAATTGAGTTTAAGTAATATTTTTTGTACTATTCTTTTCAATGACAAAAGTAGATAAAATAAATTGTATATTTCATAATACCAATAGGAGAATTCATATGATGTCACTTATTTTCATTACATATAAGGTTGTCTTGAAGCATCATGTAAGTTAATTAGTTTTTCTTCAACAGAAAAGCACAAAAGTTAGACAAGAGCATGTCTACTTCCAATATTATAAAACCCAGCAGATGTTCTGCCCTTCATCTCCTTCTTTCTCTTTCCACTCTCTTTGTCTCTCCCTCTCTCTTTGTCTCACCCTCTCTCTTCGTCTCTCCCTCTCTCTTTGCCTCTCTCTGTCTCTTGCTCTCCCTGTTTCTCTTCCTCTCTGTCTCTCTTACACACGTTTTGTTGAAGATTCCGCTTGTCTCTGAGCAGGTGGGGTAATATTGAGAAGCGCCAGACCAAACATAATAAAATGTTCAAAAAGATCTCATTTTGTAGATTACAGTGTGAGAAATGTTTTTTTGAGGCCTTGGTCTCAAAAGTTGAGTTTTTCTTATTCTGTACTGAAGACATAAAGGGAGCTCTTGTCTCATTACAAGTTCTTTGCAAGACTTTAGCCTAGATAATTTTTTTGTCTTTCGTTTCAAGGAAGTTGCTTGCTTTGTGACCTCATTTACTTAAATTAAATCTTGAGTCTTGGCAGGAATGCATTAGACACTTCACTGATGATAAGTGACATTCATATATCACTTTATGTTTTGTTTGTGTCTTTTCTGACACTATTCCTCATTTCCAAATTATATGTATTTGATACAGATTATTAGAGTGTTTTGTTTTTTGATTATTGAAGAAAGTGAGATAACAATTTTTATAGATGCAATTTTTAAAGATTACAGATTTTGTAGTCTAAGTTTCTGGCGTAGTATGGAGCAAGATGAAAATTCATATGGAAGATAAGTATTGAAATTTTCTTTGATCTCTGCTCCAAAAGTAAAATAACTTTTAAAAAAAATTACCTCTCTATGGGTTCCATGTGGATTCTTGTCCTAGCATCAACAATCAGTCTCTCAGTATTGTATTATGGAGAAAATTTTTACACCATCAGCATTTTTGCACCAATAGCCTTAGAAACTGTTAGTACTGTTAGCCTTAGTAACTTACACATAAATGGACAAATACATGAATATTCAATCAGATAACCATCCCATTGGTGGAATTTAAACCAATGACCCTTTGAGGCAAGGAAATTATGGTATTCTCAGTCTTAATGTCAGCTACCCAAGTCAACTCTTGCAATGAATAGTATTATTTTATTTTCTCCAGTTTTATCATCAGCTACACAGGTCAACTCTTGCAATCAACACCTAATATTACATTATTTTCATCAAAAAGCATATTTTGGTGTCATTGCTTAGTTGTAAAATGATTTGTTCACATGAGACTTTGTATGCAAAGGACAGATGATAAGCTGAATTTCAAATGCTTTTTACACTTACGCAAATGCTTAAAATGTGTAGCAAGAATTTTAATATGCAAGAGTTTCCAATAGAAAATGATGGTTGAATACAAAAATCTGAAAGGCAATAATGATTTCATTTCCTAAACCCAAAATATTCACAGAAAATAATACTGAAATCAATTAGAATTTACATTAGAGAGATATCTTATTTAACAACAAAAAAATGTATTTTTAATTTATATAACAACAACAAAAATACTTCGTATTACTTTAGTCACATTAAATGTTTATTGTTTTGTTATGATAAATGAAGAAACTATAAGCACATTTTCATTATAACATGAATATTTCCTTTTTACTGAATGGGAGGACACTAAATCACTGTTACAGTCACAAAAATCCCAATAACAACAACAAATCAATCATCATCATCATCATCATCATCATCATCATCATCATGAACTACAGGATGGAAGGCCAGGGGACCTATAAGTAACATTTTTTAAAAATAGTAATAATTCTTATTTTTTCTATCTTCATACAACAGAATTGTTGTTCTCATCATCAGTCAGATACATGAACGTTCACAAAACAAATGTTTTTTAACATCATGTAACAATGTAAAAACGAATTGTTTTGTGAGCACACGAATATAGAATAAATTAAGGTTACAAGATAGTCTGTCAAAAAATATGGCCCCCAACCCATCACAAAATCATAATAGTCTGATCACAAAATTTTAATAGCAGTCAAATCAATATTTCAGTGTTAAAACTTAACAAGAAAATAAAAAGTTAATAAGGAAAATTAATGTTATATTTATAAAATTACATTTTATAAAATGAGAGAAGATAAAAATGATTTTAAGTGTGCCAGTTTTGGGAAAAAGAAAGAAAGAAAGAAAGAAAAAAGAAAAAATTGAGAAAAGATATGTGTGCATTGAAAGAATTTTATTGACAAACTTCAGTAAAAAACAGTTGTTAAATTCAGCAGATACTTGGGTCAAGAATAAACAAATGCAAATTAACATTATTAATGTAATTTTCTTTTAATTGTCAAATATCTTTTAATAATACTTTATTAAAATATAATTTCAAAAAAATTTAAAAGGTAAAGAGGAAATAAATGATTTTGGTAATTCATTTTCACAACCATTCCAGGGCATTGTCAACTGTTAATAATGTAAATAAAAAATGAGAGCTAGTAATTCACTTATTTTATTTGGTTCCCATGGTAAATTATTATATTACAATGTTTTAATTTTATAATTTGTTGTTTTATTGAACTACCCGAAACGGCAGTTTGAAGCTGTTTGCCAAATACGTTTAACTCTTGGAATGAAGTGGATTTTAAACAGCAACTTCTTAAGATGAACAAAAGTAACTGATTCTGATTACTGATTAAGTAATTGAAGTAGTAGGTCCAAAAATTAGCACCATTCCGATTGGCTTGCTGAAGTTTTACTCAGAAGCAGTTCTCCGTCACACCGTATGATAGCGCTAACAGAGAGGAAACGGGGAATATCAATAACTGGAGGCGTGCATGGGTTGTGTTTCGATATTTGTTCTTAGAGATTGTCCAGTGCTGTCGTTTGCGCCGTCGTATATTTTTGTAAATGGAAACATTTTATATGATCGTTTGTTAATTTATAGTTTGTGTTAGCGTGCAGCAAAACACACGGATGTTTAAATGACGATGTTCGTTGACAAATGCCAGAGGGGGAAGTGCAAAGTGCCAGTTGTGAAAATGTGTTTTTATCCGACAGCCCGGAAGCTTAGTCGTGAGATTTACCAACATAATTAATTCCGAAGTGCGAGAAAATGAGATGTGGGTGAATCTAAAGTGACAGGAGACACACGAAGAGGATAACTCCTCTAAACGGGACCTGTGGGCCTTTCAATTGGTAAGTTCACGAATCAGAAAATGGCTCCCAGCCATCAAATATTCTCGTCTAGTGTTACGAGATACGTAAGAATGTATGTATAAGACGCTTCATGTCGTTTAGAATTTGTCATCAAAGGTCTTGGTTTAAGAAAGTTGGTTTTTGTTGTAACGAGAAAATTTGATTGATGTATTTGTAGGTTATGGCCATTGACCTAGAGCAGAACTTGTTAATTTGGACCATCTTGTGAACAGCTCTTAAAGTTTAAGGATATTTGTATTCCATAAAAATAAATTTAATAACGTAATACATTAGCGAAAATATTTGATTTCTTCATTGAATGTATGTTATTTTTGCCAATTTGTCACCCAAGTGTTTTACTTATTCCAAGTGACATTTCTAAGGAAAATAACATTGTCTTTTTTTAATAATCAAGAAATTGTGGAAAGAAAAGTATTTTGATTTTGCATTGTTATTTCTGGAGTATTAGACGTTTTTGACAGTTTTTTAACACAAATTCCTCTAATGATTGACTAACTACAGGTATAGTATAGCACTTGAGTTGAGATTTTACCTAACTTTTCACAGACTAGAGTTGGTTAATCCGAAAATGTCTTTAATTAGTCCCTCAATTTTTGTGTTTCGGCTTGCTTACAGTATTAATAAATCAAGAAAGTATGTTTACTGGATTCACAATTTTTGAAATTTTATTTTCCATTTGTCAAAAAGGGAGATACTTTTATTGGATTTTTCTATGTTATGTTGTAATTATGAATAGACAGAATAGAAATTATGTCATTTTCATTTCCTAATGGGTTTTTTCCTTTTGAAATATGTTCCAGGATTATTAAACTCATATTACAAAGTGATATTATCAAAGGATAAATTTATGACTTTTGGAAGAAAGGAACTTGTATTTTTGGGAAACAAATGGTTTACATGATCAACTTACATGATTGTACTGTATGTCATCTTGAAATGTAAATAAAGTAGAAAGTTATGTTTAGTTAGCTCTTTTATTATTTTGTATTAGAATTTGTACTGCTTATTAAGGTTTATGAGATTTGTTAATGTTATTATTTTCATAAGGGACTTTTAAGAGAGTAAAATGTATTCTTCTCCTCTACAATTCCCTTTACTGTCCAGTGATATCTTACTTTCGAAAGGAAAACGTATCAGTGACATAAGTACCATCCACCGTTTATTTTCATCCCAGAAGTGCAATTGTGTATTGTACTTTTGCCTACAGAAAGTGCGTTTTCGAAGGCTGAACATCTACTCCCTTTTTGTTTTTTTGAAGGACGGAGAAGGGAAATTCATTAATTGTTATTTTGTATTAAGTTACCGTGATTCCGTAAATACAATTAAATTTAAAGATCCGGAAAGGTCAGTGCGTGACGTGCGTAAATACGTAAGAATTGTGGGTAAAATACGTAACATTCTTGGGCGTGGCGTGCTCTCGCATACTCTGGATCCTGTCCGGGTGCGAGCAATCAATGCTGCATCAGTCTTGAAGCAGAATTTGCGGCAGGCATCCATAACCCAACAATAACAGGCTAACCATGTAATTGGCCCAGTTTAAACGTTTTGTTCGAAAGAGTATTGTTTCGTTTTCACAATGCTGTGTTTATTTGCCACTAACTGATTTTTCTACCGACCATTCAAATTAATATTCAAACTGTAGCAGAATTCTTCCAATTTCTCCCTATCATTTGAGTAGAAAGTATGGAATGCAAGATTTAATCGTGTTGAAGATTCGGCCTGAAACGTGTGCATCACGTTCCTTGCGGCTTGGTTGTTGGCGTGACGCACGCACGGGTGTTCTGCAACGCGTGCGTGTGAGCGCGCGTGCGTTGTTCGGCACGCAGAGATGCGTGTCCGCGTCACCGATTCTGTAGGTCGTTTAGCCAAGTTCTAGTTTTTCGAGCGGCGTCGGATTTAAAAGTCTCGTGCTGGGGCGGAGTGCCAAATGCAGCGTTGCGTTATCGTTTGCAGGCGAGTGACCCAAACAATGTGTTTACAGGGGAATCTGTATTCCCCTCGCCCACCCTCGCGGTTGCGTGTCGCTCCCTAAGGGCATGCGTGACGCGGTGGTGTCTTCCCGTGAGCGCTTCGTAGTAGATCGCCGATCACGACAGTTGCTCCATCGGGGGCGCAGTTTGTCCAAGCGATGCCCTGTGAGTATGCTCGACTAGTCGTTCTTTCTTTCTTTTTTCTTTCCTTCACTCTGTTTTATCTCCGCACCCTCGACGGCACCGTGAACTGAAAATTGGCACTACTCGCGAGCGAACGTCTTTAAATTTACGTGCAAATATTTGGTTAGTTGGAATCCTCAGAAATTACTTAAAATCAATAAGTTCATCGTTCTGCTGTAAGAACTTCGCCACTTCTTGAAACATGTATTTACTTTTTTTCTTTTTGTAAGTTTTGAAATTTAACTGTCTGGTTACATCTGTATGTATATTTACAGTTTCAAAATTAATTCTGTTACTATATGAATGTGGCATATACTTTATTTATTTCATTCTCGTCATACCAGTTTAGAGAATATCTTTTCCTGTCAAAGGAGAAATCAGGCTGAATCAGTGGATTTGAAAAATAACTTTGAGCCATTAGATCTTACTCGCATTCACTTTTATTTACTTTCCTGGAGAGTATTTTTGTATCAGGATTTCCCGCAGCGATTGTCGCAACATAGTCCGTGACGTTGCGGAAGGTAGCATCAGATCACGTGAATAGCACGTGCGCAGTATATCTGCACTAAGATGCCTTTGTGATGTTGCTCAACCCAAGATAAATGCAAGTTGTTGTTAGAGATTCGTTCATTGAGAAAAGCCAAGACCAATAAGTGTGAAATGAAATTGTTTTATCATTAACTGTTATTAATGCGTTTTTGAAATCCCCCACGAGACAGTTGACAGTTCAGGACAAAGTACACAGAATACAGTTCTCCCCGTAGCACGTCACAAAAGTTGTTAACAGTTTTCGACGTAAAATAAAATTAAAAGTGCATTTAAATTTAAAAATGCCCCAAACCGCTGTGTATACTCTTAACGGTTTTCAATACTCATTTCAAACATTGAATTTAGTAACGCATTGAACGAGTAATAGTTGTTAGAACAGATAAAACTTCAAAATAAAAATCTTATATCTATAACGTTTGTAAGAAAGTACACATTGAAGTCGTTAGTATTGATCGTATTCATAAACAGTGAATTCCGTTATCGCAAATTGTGCTCGTATGTTAGGAATTCACTATCGAGAATAAACTACAGTATATATTTCATGTTCGAAATATTTTTTCCTGATTATTATGCCCAATAAGACTTATCCTCTCTATAGACGTCAACAACAGTCCTAATTAGGTTTATGTATTACTTGCTGAATGTACTTTGCAGCGTTGTGTTGGTTTTATGTCGATGAAAATTAGATTTGGGGTGTGGCCTCGCGAGTAAAACCCGTACCTAAACCTTTCCTGCTCCTGTATTAATTGATATCGATGTAAAAATCAATTCATATTTCAGGTGTCTGCATTAAAATGTTGAGAATATTGACGGTGCAAAAACAACCAATATCGTGAAATGTTTTTTTGAAATTTTCTGGACATTCACTACGACACATTACCAAGGGTATCTGCGAAGAACATAAATTAGATTTTATTTATAGGGAAACGGTAGGCTAAGTTATTGTATTCAAAATACAGTGATATCTGATGGAAGTTCGATCTGATTCCGTGCACGTTAAATATATTTAAAACAGTGTTGCGGGTTAAGTTTCAAGGGAGCTTCTGGACTTGAATGTGAGCCGCGCCCCAAGTGCATTGAATTGTGTTCCGATGTGGTCTAATCGCCGGTGTCGACGGACTCCGCCGTTTTCTCTCGCTCTCTCCCGACAAGAGCGGGCCGTTGTCTTCGGCGAAGGTCCCAGCTGTTTTCTCTTTAGCCTCTTCCAGATCTCGAGTTAATAGGTGTGACCAAGAGATAAATTCTGGTTCTAGGTAATGATATTCTTGGATTGCCAACGTGCGTGCGTTAAGTCAAATTAGTGAACGATGCGTTGCGTATGTGTTTGCTTTTAGAGGAACCACAAAATTCACGGAAATTGTCTGATCTGGAAATTAAATTAGATGTGTTTCGGTTGTAAATGTTTGTAGTCGCTATGTTGACTAGCAACACTTTCACGCGTGACAGTAATGCATGCGTTTTGGGTTTATCTAATAAATGGCTTATCGCAGTGGAGAGAAACTACATTATAAATGCCCTAATTTGTACTGTGTGTACTCAACGCGGAAGATTTAGCATGTTTATGTGACAGTGCGTGATGATGCAATTATCTCATTACCCGATTGAAACTGTGTCTAGTAAAGTATCAAACCATTTCATGCCGATAAACCAAATATTAATTTGCGCGAGCAATTTAATTTTTCAAATCGGAATTAATTTCTGCCGATTTTCCCAGCACAACGTAAAAGCATCAATATTGCATTAAAGTAAATCTCTTATTGAATAACTCTTTTTTGTGTTTTTTAAGAAAATCGTTAGTAGGCATTCGTTCCATTCATTCGTTGAAGTATAAAATTGTGCAAATTGGCAAAGACTACCACATTCGAAGATGGTGATATGTAATATGGAGAAGTCATAAGCATGCATTTTAGCGAGGGCAAGTTTGGTTACTTTATTTGAATCTTTTGACAATTAAAGGTAAAGGTATTTAAAGAATTCTTGTAAAAGAGATTGTGATTTTTGTATTATATAGATTTACTTCACAGCAAATTGCATTTTTCATAAGTTACATTTTTCGAGGATTTTGATAGGTGAAATTCTATGCTCGTTGACAATCTTTTTGACAATTACGTTGTCCGAATACTTTTCACTTAAATTAGTACTTTCAGAAATGCTGCATGAGATGGACAAACCGTTCCGGAGAATAAAAACCCCTCTGTTGACCGGCAGTCTTTTATAGCGATGAACTCCCCATTTCAAAAACTGCGCTTCTCTCCCTTTCGAAAAAATCTCTAATTGTGCGCGTTATACACTAGCCCGTGCAGTTGCCCCAACCCATATTGATTTAACTGAGCTCAGAAGGTCGGGTGATCCACGTTGACGTCAGACTCGTTGATTATAATCGTGAGGGCGAGACAATGAAAGTAGATATCAACTCATGTTGGTCAACTGATGCATTGGTTCTTCTTGACTAAACTGAGGGGGGGGGGGAATTAACAATGGAAAATGGAAAAAAAGGTTGCACGTCATACTGTAAACTTCAAATGACTCAGAAGTGTTAAACTAAATCAGGAGCATGCGTGGTTTATACTTATTGCGTATGCATACAATGCAATATTTAGGAAAGCACTGTTGAAACTAATGCATGACTCTTCTCATATTTAAGTATTGTAAGTACGTTATGCGGTTTGCACATTACGGTGCCTACCACTGATAGTGTACGCGTTGCCCTTACTTGTAAAAGTAAGTCTAGCGGACGTCGTGCGGAGTCTTTCTGGAAGGCATTGAATACACTTCTGGAGGCGATCAGTTGCTCAATAAATACTGGCTGAACTCGTGCAATTATTTCGCAGTAAAGCAAGAATGTAGATGTATTGCAATAGAAATGTACGGCATCGTTACTTAGAGGGCATATTATGCACGATTAGAAAAACAGGAAACCTCAAAATATTGTTTCACTCTAAACACATCTGAATAGGTAAACAGGTATCTGGACATGTAATTAAAAATGTGTTATATTTACCAATATCTGTTCCTGCATGATGCAGTAGTTTACAGAAGGGAATTGTGCTGTCGAACTTAAAACGTAATGCGTCACATATAATTTTAAATCAGTTTTTGTAAAGGATCAAACCATGTCAAACGATGGTTGGACATTACTTTTATATTCACTCACTAATCTTTGCATTTTAAATCGATCTTGGGAAAAAAAACTGTCTACTTGTGCTTCACCAACTCTATTCTCCCAACACGACTGC